CAGCTTTTCCAAGTAAGAGTGGAGGTGACAAGCTCCCAGAAGATCGATACGCTTGACCTTGCTGGAGATAAGGCTCGCTCACTCTGTCGTCAAAAGTTAAGCACCCGAGGCCGTTTTCGTGTGCCGCTTGACTTCATAGTGTCCTCCTTCTCTCTGGCCGTTGCAGAGTGACTTCCTAGGCGCTTTCCCCATGTCCTCTGCAAGAAGCTATGGAGTACTTGGTTTGTTAAACTGGGGTTGCGGGACCTCTAAGTATCAGATGCTGAAGTATCTATGGCGGATTTTGTAAAGTTTGAAGGTTTTTGACAAAATCAGCTTCTGGTACAATTGTCCGACTTCAAGTGATGAGGCTTAAGAAATATGTACGCTCTATGTCGCTTGCTTTCTGTACATAGATATGCATATATATATGACAAGGCTTAGAGATTGAGAGCAATAGCATAAATGCAAAATTAATACATTTTTTTCTTCCTCTTATTCATTCCCTCTTTTCTCTACGAGGGTATGAATTACTTTCATGCTTATTATTGGCTCAAAAATACTCTCATATACAAGACTCTTGCTCATCCAGTTCTTTCTTTGCCAGTGCTGGAGCTGTCAATCTGCTAAGCTGTGCGCCAGGCAAATCCAAACCGTTGTGCTACTGATGTCCCTTCCACCCTCTCCTCTCTGCTCGCCTGCGTTGCTTCGGCCTTCCAGACCCCAAAATGGCACAAAATGGCACTGGGCTTTCAGTCCCGTTCTTAGTGGATCACTCTTTGAGCTCGTTTTTTTTCCTCGCATTTCAGCTTCTTCCTTCTCCAAAGGCAAGTTTATGCATTTCCCGGGGAAGGGGAGCAGGGGAAAGGAAAATCGCAGGGTTGTGCTCCTCTGCTTTTTCCAGGTTAGACCCTCAGTCCTGTCTGACGTCCAAAGGGGAAGGCTGACTTGGTGCTCTCCGAACAGGTCCTTCTCGACTGTCTTTAGTCAGTGTCCTTTCCCAGAAAGAGGAGAACAAAACGGTTGGGAGAGAAGGTAATGGGGGAGGTCTGGAGTCTCTCAGAGCCAGGTTTTGGAGGTAACGACTGGGGGTGCAGCAGGTTTTGGGGAGGTAGAAGATCATGTTTTTCAAAAATGTCATTTCAAGCTCCTTGTGGACTGTGGCCGAGAATGTCCCAATTGATTGCCTTTGAAGCAGTGTTGATTTTCAGGAATAGAATTCAATAAAACCCAAATTGCCTGAGATCGTGACATCATCATGTAGGGGGTCACATTTAGAACGTGGTTCCCTGTCATTGCCACTGCAAAATCCACACATAAACAGCTCCAGGTCTTGGGACAAAAGCTGTGGAGCGAGAGAAACCTGCAGAGATGGGGTGCACGGCTCAAGGCTCGCTTTCAGCTTTAGGGGGGAGCGCCCGCCTTTGTGTATGACGGCTGGCACGCGAAGCGTGGAGTTTTTACTTTAAGGCATAACCCTGCTCGTGGGTTACACCACTTCAGGTTACATGAGTAAGTGGGGGGGTGTAAAGGGCAATGAGAGTAATTCAGGTTGTCAAAATATGTTCTTTACTGCAGGTGAGGTAGTAACAAGAGTGTTACCCTGAAGGTGAAACCCTCTCCCCTTCCCATCTCATGAAGAGATTTACAAACAAACCAACCCTAGTGGTCAAAATCCCTGCCTCAGCTTTTTGCCGAGGTGACACTTTAAATCTGTCGTCTTATGCAGCTGATGACTTCATACTGTGTAGTCACTTTTAATCACGCTCTGTTATTTGCCTAGTGTAAGAAATACCTTCACTATTTCACTAGCTTGTGCAACGACTCCCAAAGCTCCGTTTTGGTGGGTGTTAAAAGCGTATAAACACTGCTCACGGTAGTATTTGCCTAGTGTAAGAAATACCTTCACTAACTATTTCACTAGCTTGTGCAACAACTCCCAAAGCTCTGTTTTGGTGGGTGTTAAAAGCATATAAACACTGCTCACGGTAGCGTGATGCTGCACTCAAAGTCTTTAAGAATTTTAACAAAAATTGTAATATGATACAAGCACTGAAATGCTTCTCAGGGTGGGGGTGCATGTGTCTCTCTGTGTCCCCCCCCCCTTTTTTTTTTTTTTTTTTTTTAACCTGGAAGAACAGTTAAAAAGCCACCTGACTAGCTTTTGGACAGGGGGGCCCTGGTGGACTCCAAGTTGGACATAAGCCAAGCCATGTGCCCTTGCCACAAACAAGGTCACTGGTGGCCTGGGCTGCAGCAGGTGGAGGGAGGTGATCCTGCCCCAGTACTGGTAAGGCCTCACGGGGAGGGCTGGGTCCGGGTCGTGGCGGACGTGCTGGAGAAGGGCCATGAAGATGATGAGGGGACAGGAGCATCTCTCCTGTGAGGAAAGGCTGGGAGAGCTGGGACTATAGACATTTCTGTGTCTATAAACACCTAAAGGGAGGGTGCAAAGAGGATGGAGCCAGGCTCCACAGTGGGCACCATTGACAGGACCAGAGGCAACAGGCACAAACTGGAACCCAGGAGGTACTGGCTGAACACCAGGAACCACTTTTTGTTCCTGTGAGGGTGACCCAGCACTGTCAGAGGTTACCCAGAGAGGTGGTGGAGTTTCCATCCTCGGAGCTACTCAGAGTCCTGGACAACTGGCCTTGGCTGGCCCTGCCTGAGCAGGGACGTCCCCGCAGAGGTCCCTTCCACCCTCAGCCGTGCTGTGACTGTGGAACAAAGCCCTCGGAGTACAGGGCTACAAGCTGGAGTCCGGCTTCTTCGCAGCTCAGATCTGTGGGAGGGCCACGTTACCCTTAACGGCCGACGCAGGAGAATGTCTCAGACCCTACCCTTCAGCCTCTCAAAGGCTTTTTGCTACAGAAGAGAGAACACAGCAAGTGGTGAAAGGGAAAGGAACCTTAAGCCTGACTCCTGCAACAGAACTGACAATTAGTTATTACAGACACTGATTTTTCCAACCCTTTTTTTACCTTCTTACAAGCTATTTTAAGTCACCCCTCGCCCTCCTCAATTGAGGAGCAAGGGGAGGTCCCTCTCAGCTCTCTTGATACCTTTCCCCGATTCTCACAGTATTGGCAGGTTCCTAGGTAATGGTGCGTCCCTGCCGAGCTTGCATTGTCCCTGCCGGAGGGGTCCCTGACCAGAGACCTTCAGGCAGCATGATGGGTGAGGAGCTCAGCACAGCATTCAACCCAATGCTGACTTTAGACCCCGTCTTTAAAGCTCTCAAAGAAAGCAGGTGGCATCTATGTAGATATTTACAGCCAGTTTCATGAAGGGTAACAAAACCGTAACCCCCTGTTAAAGGAGGGATTAGTGGCTGCCAGCCATCCCAACCACTGTTAAGGTTACCTGCATCATGCAGACAGGAAAGCAAGTCTGCAACCATCACATTAGCTAAATAAATGGGGTGCAAATCGTTAAAGAAGAGCTGCTGATTCCTTAACAAATCCAGTGGCTAGAGCAGTGCTTGAGCTGGGAAAGCAAGGCTTGCAGCAATGTTCTGAGGGAACAGGGATAAGAATGGATGTCATCAGCTCCACATCTGATCACTACCATTGCTATAGCAGTCACCATCACTGAAAGAAAGAAAAAAAAAGCTCACAAAACCCTGTATTGAAAAATCCACATATTGGCAAACTCAATGGATGACATTGGTGTGAATAAAACTGTCTCCTGAGGAAATAGGCTGCACAAGAAGAAAATAGTTATGAACAGCCCAGCCATCCCATTAAATAAAGGGGTAACACAACCAGTTACTGAAAAGCAGTGTTGCTTGGACTGCCTGTGTGCTTCTGCTTCCATTACCAGTTACCACAGAGCACAGGTTACAGAAAGATCTTGTAAAATTCAAGTTGATTCATCTCTATGCACAAGAGACTTCTAGGAAGAATAGATAAAACCATGATTTATTACACTTTATAAAACTAGATTCAGAACAAGCAAGTGCAGAATATAGTACATGATTTATTTTTTCTGTATATTACATATTATTTGTTAAGTTTCATTGACAAACCCAAAACTTCCCTAATTTTTCCTTTACCTGCTTAAGCCAAGCAATTAATTTTGTTGTACAGGAGAGAAGAAAAAAACTTCCTGGAGAATTTATCATCTGATTAACTTGGCAGAAGGTGCTTCAGCTCAGACCAACTTTCAGTGTTTCCCACAGCTTGTAAAGACTTGTCAGGTTAGAACCTCAGTTGGTTGTAGAATGTCCTGCCACTCTACCAGTCTAGAAACGGGCAACTCCATTCTCATTACATTTCAATAATGTCTTCTTCTTAGAAGATGAATTAATGCAGTTGCATTTGTAGACATACCAAACAGTATAAATGAACGCTGTAGCTACTTTTTTTAAAAAAAAAAATCACTTTCCAGTAGCCCCCAGATCTGTCTTGAGTTATGCAGGATCTGCTGAGATAGGTTATGTGTCTAATAAAGTCCTTAAGAAAAATAAATATTTTTGCATAATGTATGTACAAAGATTGGTTGATTTCCTTCATTCATAGGTTCAACAACAGATGTAACCATAGCTATATTTTATTCACTAGCTCACAATGATTAATGCCACCTTGGTAACTGATGTATTAAGAGTCCAAGAGAATATTGGCCTATTCTTTATAATAATGCACATTATATGGAAGTGTTTTGAAAACAGTGGCTTAATGAAAGAAGGATTAACAAAGACACCCTCCTTTGGTCCCTGTAAGAGTAGTTTAACTCTTCCATGAAATTTTCAAAACTCCCCCACATAATTTTAACCAACTATTAAGGCGTCAAAAGAATAGATTTCAAGTTGAGATTAAAATGGTCTTTCTTGGACTTGAAAAGAAGTCCACTGCAGATTTCCCGACAAAGAAATTTTCTTATTGTGTCTCCTTCTCCTCAGCTCTTTTCTGCACAAACACTATACACCAGATAAACCTGATTATCAGACTACAAGATTGTCAGAGATTATCTCCCCAATACCTTTTTTTTTTGAACTACAACAAAACATTACACTTAAATATATTGCACAAAAAGCATAACGTATCCTGCCCGATTCTTCACAAAAATGGCCACAAACACAGGAGAACAGCTACTGAACATCTCAAAATTTGAAGAGATCAATGAAATGCTGAGGAGATACTGGCATGAAACAGGTGTTTGGATCACTGGCTGTGCAGGGGTGTCCTGTATCCTGCAAAATGAAGGAGGAAAAAAAGTAAGTTCTCTTTCCATATGCACAATCTCCCTCCCTCCCCCAGTAAAAAAAACCCCAAAGATTCACATACAGGCACATGCAGCTACTTCCATTGTAAGCAAACTAATGAGAACTTGCTCTTTTTAAGAATTCACGACATTTTTCTTTAACTGTTTTAGACTAAGTTGTTAAGAAAACAGGCCTTCCCAGTTTCACTGCGGTAGTGCAGGGTAGCTTCAGATTTCAGGAAAAAAAACCAACCTCTCTCCTCCTACCAAAACCAGAACCTGAGTCAGAGCTCTTGAAAAAAGTTTCATATTCCTTATCCATTGTTTTTTGATAAGTGTAATTAAAAAAGGCACAACTGCTTTGTTGAACTTAAATTATCAGTTTAAAGAAAATCTGAAATCAGCTACTTCAGGGGGGAAAAGTGAGCTCCTTGCTTTCCAAGTGAAGGGCAGCAGACACTTGCCCAAAAAAGTAGTAAACAGCATGTTTGAAATCCCAGTGATAAAAGTTTTTCTACCTTGCTTGTTTTTCTCTCCCCTCCACCCCCCACCCCGTTCCCCAACATTTTTTCTCCTCTTTCACTCCTGCCTTTTCCCCACCTGAAAGCATTGCCTTAGAACAGTTAGCACCGTGGCAAGTTAGGAATATAGAGGATGGACAGGATGGAAAGGCTTTGTCATTACAAATTCACAAAGCCTGCAGTGCTTCCTTCAATATTACAGGAACTTGAACTCAGCACAATTATCTGATTATTTAAGATTCAAATTCCTCTTCAAATGAAAAGCTCAGTTTTGCACCTTAATCAGAACCCTCTAAAGGAAGGAAATGCCAGAGGTGTAATGAGATGAAGGTGCCAGACAGTTCAATGGAGAGGTTAAACCCCGTGATCAATAATGTTGTAAGGCTCAGACACTCTCCTCCCCAGGTTTAAGAGGGCTTCTCTCCCTTTTCTACCAGCATCGATGAATTCATCATGTGGGGCAAGAAAACTAGAGTAACTACATGGTAAGGAGATCAGAGACCACCGCAGTTTTAATTTCTTTCGTTTCCATAGGAAGTAAAGTTACATGCAACTCAGTTAACAGAAGGAAAGAACCTCTAAGTGAAGGTTTTTTTTCTCACTTGGAAACTTAAGGAAAGTGCTGTCAAAGATGCCACATTCCCATCCAAAGTCGTTGCAACACCAAACTGCACTAAGTGAAACACATTCTAAATACTACTCAGGTTTTCCAATGAAAATTGTTACTCTGTAGTTATATTATTTGTATTTTTCCATTAAGTCTATAGATGACTACATGAAAATATCATGTGGTATCACCTCCTCATCCTCCCACTTTTTTTAATAATTGCTTTAACATCGCCTGAGAACCAGTTGCTATATTCATGACAGAGGGGTAAAAAAACCAGAAAAGAACAGACAAATAGGTAGAACTGCCTATTTGGGGAAGCTGCAGATGAGAAAGAACAGAAGAATAAGACCAGAAGTGTTAGGTTTAACACCTTCATCTTGAGATGACATCTGCAAGGAAGACACACCACAGCAGAAAACACCTCAAAGGTAGTTGCTAATGCACTGTCATCTTCTCTACCCATTGCTATGTCAATGTCACATCGTTCCTTTCCTAGTTTCCAGGGAAAAACACCATCAGAATTAGGATTCTGGTGAAGAAGCAGCTAGGGTTTATCTCCTTTTAGTGCTAAATATTTTAGACAGATTTTGTAACGTGCTATCTGTTTTGCTCTGCACATCATCATAAAAATGCTTTTGAAAGCTCTGCTCAGGAATTGCAAGGACAATAAAAATCTCAGTAAGATCAGTTCTTGGGGTTTTTAGTTATTAAAAAAAGAACAGAAACAGCAATTTTACAGTGAGGAAAAAAAGTGATGAGGACTGAAAAGAAGAATCGTAACTTTCCTGTAGTTATGAGTATTCCTCCTTCCAAGAAAAATGTATTTCCCTTGAAATTACATTTAATAAATAGTGCTCAAATCACACTGATTTTAAATGTATCTGCTTAAAGGTAAAACAGAATTCTTTTAAATTAACAGGAGAATTCACCAGCAGGAACATTTACTGGCAAATGTAGTTGTTTTCCTCTTCAAATTTTATCATAACTGGACATTAAGAAGCTCCCATAACAATTTTGGAGCTACAGTCCTTTTCTGTATCATTATTTCCACCATTTCTTCATTCAGAAAGCAACATTATAATTGCCTCCTCCCACTCTCCCAAGTCACATGCAGCCTGTTTTGGGAATTTCTTTTCAGAGAGACTCTTTCATAAAAGTATGTACGACTAGAGCATTCCAAGTGAGGTAAAAATTGATTTTAGTACTTTTGTATTAAAGTTATCTGAGGTTCATGTTACTCCTTTCAAGATTTAAGTACCAAGTTAAATACATCAAGGAGTGCAGAAACAGTTTCAACCCCCGAGGGCAGACACACCTATTTCTTAGCAAAATGCGGCTGATCTCACTGACACCACGCACCTCTGTTCATTAGGAATTGAATTATGGTCCCTAGTTGAAATGGCATTAACAGGGAATATGGCAATAACAAAAACCAAGTATGATGAAGAACCAAGATGGAAAGTCATCACTACCTTATCTAACAGGGCACCAA